GTTCTCTGTGCTAGGGATATAGCAATGAACAAAATAGCTGAAGTCCCTAAATTCTGATTCTCATGAAGGTTTCATACCTTTTCCTCTAACTTTGTCAATTCATTTTTGTCCTCCCCACCAGCCTAGGTTTAGCTGGTTTCTAGTTTCCCAACATGCTTTCCAAATAGAGATGTGCCCACTTCTGAGCACTGCTAATGAGGGACCTAAAGAAGCTAGATTATGCCCCCAAGGAAATTACTACCGTGTTTCCCTGAAAATAAGACAGGGTCTTATATTTATTTATTTATTTTTCCTCAAGAAGACACCCTAGGGCTTATTTTCAGGGGATGTGTTATTTTCTCCTCAAAGCCTCAGCTTGCAGCACGCACAGGATGGCCGGGACCAGACAGGGGGAGCTGACCTTGTTGGTGGGGCTGCCCACACCTTTCTGGTCACCTTTGGGATAGTAGCTGTCACGATGGGACAGATGAGAAGGGCTGCTCATCTTCTTTACCGCTCCGGGATGAAATGCATGGGTTGTGCAGATGCGCTGCGTAGCCACGCCCGTCACTAGGTCTTATTTTTTGGGTTAGGGCTTATATTGAGCAAATGCTTAGAAATCCTGCGAGGGCTTATTTTATGGGTAGGTCTTATTTTCCCGGAAACACCATATCTGGTTGGGAAGAAACAGATAATCATAGGCAAACTGTTAAGTATTGAATAAGTACGTTGGGTATTAGTATATCATGTCTTAGACAGGGTTCTAACTGGAGAAAATGAAAGTAGAAGAGAAGGAATATGCACAAAGGTAAAGCAGCTAATTACACAGGTATCAGTGTAGAGTGGTTAGAGTCCTGCTCTGAGTCTGAGGGACCTGAAATCTGTTTTAAGCTTTGGCATTCTCTTTGTGAGCAAAGAACAAGGCATCTTTCAGGACGATAAGGAACACATACACAAATATTAAAATTAAAAAAAAAGAACAAAGCACCTATTTCAGTAGTCCTTGTTTTATTGTTATTATTATTATTATTTTCCTTTTAGAACATGAAGGTAGAGGTACACTAGGAAATCTCTAGGGATTCTTCCAGTGTTTTTGAAAACAAGCCTTTTATTTTGGAACTCCTCAGAATTTCCAACCAGAATAATAATGGGATGGGTTAGAGTTTAGTTGGGGAGACACTCAGCTCTGGATAATGAAAAGATAATGAGGATGGAATGAGGAGTTTCTATCCAACCCTTGCCTGTGGCCTCATTTGCTGCAGTTGCTCTTACCTCCTCAGGCCAGGTGGCCATCTCCACTGGTTTTCCCTCACTACAACTTCCGCTGAATTGGGCAGGGGAGAGCCCCGCTCTACCATGCTGCGAATACCACTTCCCAATGGTGAGTCTTCAGGGAATAGAAAAACTTCCTGATGCTCACTCTTTCATTAGCCCCCAGCAGTCTAAGTTGTATCCCAGCTTCTAAGCACTATCTGCCTGAAATCCAACTCAATCTGTTTTATCATTCATAATAAGCCTTCTTGGCTTAGTGACAGCAAGGCTTATTGATAGCTAATTCTTAACAATCACCATGGTCAAAGCAAATTGAAGTGATTGCATTTTATCACCCATAATTTTATGCTTTAAGTTACTGGCCAAAATCATAAATGAAAAGGAAACCTGTTTTAATTTTTCCTTCTACAGCTGTTAAAATCTTATAGCTTCAGCCATGTTAAATAGCCTCATATTTATATATTTCAGCATGGTTCTTGTTTTTTTTTCTTCAGCATGGTTCTTAAAATTGTCAGTTAACAGAATACATGGAAATATGATGCTATTTTTAGAACATTGATCTAAATGAAAACTATTTTATATATATATAAAATTCTAGGCTAAGTTAGAATTATAGTAAGCACACATAGTAGTAGATGCTAAGGTTTAAGGGAAAAGTGTGCTTCAAAATGTACACTGTGGTTATAGAAAAATTTCAATAATATACATGTAATATTCACATTAGACATCAAGCTGTCAAGCGCCTTTCTGGCAGAAACTTTGAAATTACTAGCTTTGGTCATACACTCAGATGTTGATTGACTTAATCAGATGTTCCATGTTGTTGGATAAATGCAGGTGTTATGTGTTATGTTGGACAACTTCAGGAGATAGCATTATGTTACATTCATATTATGCTACCAACTAAATGGTGAAAATATGTGTCAAAGATGATAATTTTGGGTTTAGAGAAGTTGATCTCAAGCATTTTTTTTCTGACAATACTCAGCTATCAGGACCAGTGGTATACCAAGCCACCCCTAGTTTGTGTCAGCAAAAAAGGCTCTGGATCAACTTCTCCAAAGTCCCTTTTAAGTCAGATTGGGCTGGCTTGGCCCAGACAGGGAAAGCTCCTGGTTGACCCTTTCCGAAGCATTCCATGACAACTCTTCATCCTGGGCCCAGATTTAGTGCTGCACCTGGCCAGTTAGAGACTACAACAGCAGGAAAGAACTTGTTTAAGTGGTAGAAGTGATAGACTTGGCTTATGGTTCAAGGAGGGAGGAGAAGGTCTAAGGAAGTGCTGAAAATCTATCCTGACTACCCTGTTTTCCGTCAGATTTACAGTCAGATTCCTCAAATCCAGCCAGTTTGGTCTGAAACCACCTGGCGGCCCTGCCTCCTACCCCTGTGGACTTTCCCCACAGGTCTCCAGGCCTGGCGACAGCTTTGGTGTTTCTTGAGGCCAGTATTTCAGTATGAATCTGAATGAGTTCTGGCCAAGGAAGAAGAAAGGAGTAGAGTATTCATTAGAATATTCTTAAAGCCCAGAAATGAAAACACAACGGGGAGGTAAATACTCCGGCTTTCAACTCGAGTAGAGTTTACAGAGGCTCATCCAGACACAGGTATGTCCCAAAGTCCTGGAGGCAAAAGAAACTATGAAGGTATGTGCACATTATGAATTCCACAAACCCATATCTTCCTCCTCATTCTCATCCCTACAAAACTTAACTGACTAAAAAGAAACAAAATATTGAGTCAGCCTTATGAATGATGTTGGAAATTGCAGCAGAAAGAGCACCCAGTGGAGGTTTAAGACATATAATGCTAGTCTTAGCTTAAGTGTTTTTGTTGTTGTTGTTGTTGTTTTGTTTTTTGAGACAGAGTCTCACTTTGTTGCCCAGGCTAGAGTGAGTGCCCTAGCATCAGCTTAGCTCACAGCAACCTCAAACTCTTGGGCTCAAGAAATCCTACTGGCCTCATGGCACCCGAGAGCTGGCGATACAGGCTACGCCACCATCGCCCGCTAATTTTTCATAATATAATATAGTTGCCATATATTCTTCTATATTATGAGTAGAGACGGTGGGTCTCCGGCTCCTGCTCAGGCTGTTTGAAACTCCTGGACCTCGAGGCAATCCCCAGCCTCGGCCTTCCCAGAGAGTGGCTAGGATAGCAGGCTGTGAAGGCCACGCGCCCGGCCTTAGCTTAAGTGTTAATTAATTATTGGAGGTGTCTAAACTCTGGCCTTAGTTTGCCCATCAGGATTTGGAGGTTAGTTTGTTTTTGGTGCTTTCAAAGGGCTCTTTCTTGTTGTACACATTTGGATTCCTATGGCACTTGTGAGCATGTGCTTCATTTCGTGGTGTATTGCCAAGGAGATAGAAATAAATGGCAGGGATGCCATTTTGTGTTTTGTTCCTTTACCAGGGAATTGTGACTCAATGGCACAGAAGGTACAGAGTGGTTACCTCATTCGCAGCGTGGGAATGGAATGGCTTTCTGACACTTACGAGTTGAGTCTGTCGTGTTTGCATCCCTTCCTGAAGCCCAAGCAGCTCCTATAACTCCAAGTAACCTTAATTTCACTTTCTCTCTTTCCCTCACCCATAGTTCATACTTAAGGATGGCTAATAATAGGTCGTGATCAGAAAGGCCCATCTGATTAGATCTCTGATTTGTTTTATGACCTTAGACAAGTCAATTTTTCACTTAAACTTTAGTTTCCACATGCAGTATGAACTTATGGATAAGCAGTTATAGATTATCTGAAATGGTTTTCTATTATATAAAATGAAGATAATTTTGAGAATATTTCAAATTTTTTTTCAGAAATTGGAAAAAAAAGAAATGTAGATAAGCCAAATGTGATTTACACTTATCTATACTTTCTTCTCCCCCACCACACATTCATGATTTAAAAGTCTGTTTTTCCTGGGATAATATAAAAATTATTGGTTCACCTGAGTTAATATTGACCTAGGAAATAGAGGGAGGCCTAAAAATATGACCTTACGTTATCTACAGAGGGCAATAAAGATTTGACAGTATCAGCAAGGCGTAACAAGTGACAGATTGTAAGTTTATAGATATTCAGATAGTGTGTGAAATAAATTGCTCACAAAGATGTCCTTGTATCTTTATACTTGAGTTATGGGTTTAGCAGTGATATTGGGGGCTGCATCTTTGTGGCTTTTATTTAAATCTCAAAATGTTCTTGATGCCTAGGGAGTAGTCTCTGTAGAAGAAGATAAATAGAAATATTATATATGATTGGAATTAGGGATTTGGACACATTGGATACCCTTCTCTAGTCCTGCTAATTCATGCAACCTGAGAAATTGATAACTCAGGGCTTCACTCTAGTCCTGGAATCAGAGAGACCCTGTCTCAAAAAAAAAAAAAAAAAAAAAAGTTGGCATTTCCTCAAAATTTAAACAGAGTTATCATACTAGCAGTTCCACTCCAATGCATATACTGAAGACAAATGAAAGCATATGTCCACACAAAAACTTGTGTGTGAATGTTTATAGCAGCATTATTCATAAAAGCAAAAAAGTGAGCCTGGGTAACATAGTGAGACACTGTCACTGACATTTTTTTTTTTTTTAATTAGCCAGATATGGTGGCACATACCTATATTCTAGGTACTTGGGAGGTTGAAGGTGGAGGATCACTTGAGACCAGGAGTTGGAGGCTGCAGTGAGGTATGATCGTGCCACTGCACTCTAGCCTGGACAACAGACTGAGACCCCCCATTTCTTAAACAAAAAAAGTGAAAGTTACCCAGATGTCTACTAATTGATAAATGGATAAACAAAACAGTAATATCCATACAATGCAATGTTATTCAGCCACAAAAAGGAATGAAGTGCTGCTTCATACTATAACATAGACGAACGTGGAAAACATTATGCTGCATAAAAGAGGCCAGACACAAAAGGCCACATATTGTGTGATTCAATTTATATGAACTGTACTGAATAGGCAAATCCATAAAGAAAGAAAACAATTAGTGATTGCCAGGGGCTGGGGTGGCAGGAGAGCAATGGGGAGTGACCGCTATTGGGTAGATGTTTCATATTGGGTTGATGAAAATATTCTAAAGTAAGATAGTAGTGGCAGTTGCATATCTTTGTAAATATAATAAAAACACTAAATCATACACTTTAGAGGGGTGGATTTTATGGTATGTGAATTATAGCTCAATTTTAAAAAAAAGTAATTCTAATTAAAGGTGATTCTAGTAATTAAGGGTAATTCTAATTGGGCAAAAAATGGTGTTTGAGAATCTAATAAAGGCAGTATAATGAGAATTTTAAGAACATGGACTTTATTTTTAAAATTTTTAATTATTATGAGATATATAATAGATGAACATGGACTTTAAAGCCAAATGACTTGGGTTGGAATCCCATCTTCACTGTTTATTAGCTGTGTGATCTGAAGCAAATTACTTAACCTCTCTGTGCCCCAGTTTCTTCATCTGTGATAACTAAATGACTTCCTATATGTAAAGTGCTTGGAATAGTACACCATATAAATGTTTGCCATTATAACCGTATGCAATAAACTGTACTAGGCAAGAGTGAGAATCAAAACCAGTATCAAGGAAGCTTGTGCTAAATACAAATGTCAGTTAGGGAGGAGCAGAGCAGGGTGGAGTCCAAAGCAGGTTGCTTCACTTGATTTATTGTCTGAACTCTGCCCCATGCTGATATGGGGAAAGAGGCAGGGTTTTGTGGAAAAGGAGGGAGAGTTAATATGGATCAAGGATACAACACCTAAATTTAGCCTTCTTACCTTTGTCTTGGCAAAAGGTCCAAAAATATGTCAGGAGGCACATGGGGGAGAAGCAAGGAATGGGGAACAGCACTTACATATCTTTATTGTTCAATGTAAATAAAGATTAGGCAAAAACTTTTGAGGGTTTTCCTCTGGAGTTTTGGCAGTAAACTTATGATATTTGTCCTTCTGATCAAAAAGGTATCTTTTTTATTGAGATGTTTGTTGAACTTTCATTTCAAAAAGTAGGGTCAAACCCATCTTTAAACATTAGTGCTACTGCCACATTTTTATTCCCAGGACAAATCAAGAATCCACAAGGGTAGCAGGTGTTGCTATCAGTATTCATATCATACCTTTGCTTTAAATTGTTTTCTATATCTTTGTAGAGGTGGACTTACAATTCTTAATTTCTTTTTCTGTAGATCTCACTCTTTCTGTCAACAGACAGCAAAGAAAGATTCTACTAGAAGGACTTGAAGGACTGGATTTTGAGGAAATGATATGGAGTCTTAAATTCCTTTCTTAAAAAGATAGAGAAGAACTCTGTTGTCCACCTTTTCTCTGGTTTTACACTTCTGAATTCTCTTCTCCTCTGTAAATATATTTTATGTGTCCTTGGTTTCATAAAAATTCTGCTTTGTCTGATACTGTCACAAGATATCAATCAGTAATGACAAGGCCTTGTATTTCTATTGCTCCTGTCTCTCGCAATGCTTCACATGTGACCCTGTGACAAAGAGATGTTAATTGGCTGCTTAGGGTGACACAAGAAGTCACTGACCCAGGGCCATAACTGAGACCGCATGATTCCTTTGCCTACCTCAGGAGAGATTTCTTCCCTTTCACCATGCATTTCTCCGGGAACTTTGTACTGAGAAATAATCTAGGTGAGGAAAAGAGGATGAATTTCATGGCAGAAGGCAGTAGAAGCCAAAGTAAAGATTAATGCCAGGGGCTCGTCACACTGGAGACCACAGAGGTACAGATACAGCATTATTTAAAGTTCATTCGATCTCAGATTTTTTTCCAAAATGCATCTCATATCATCTCTCTTTAGATGTAGTAACTTTGTCTCCCGAAAAATTATGGGTAGTGGTAGAAGAGAGCAGAAAAGGTATGGGCAATGAATGATAGAGCAATGGGTAGAACTGGCTTGAAAGTCTCTGAAATACCAAAGCCTTAACAGTTCAACAGATTCCCAAAGCATTTACTGTAGAAATTTTACTTTGGGAACCAAGGGTGCTTCAGAAGCAATGGGTGGTGGGTATGTATATGTGTATGTAGGGAAATGGGGGGTGGGACATGTGATATTTCTACCTTGGATTTCTGAAATACTTATATTCTAACACTTTAACATACTCTCATATGTTTTATCTCATTTGTCTTGTCAGAATGTTTCTGATTATGTTCTGCAGGATTATGATCCATTATTTTATAGATTAGAAATTCAAACCCTGGGAACTCATGACACTTGCTCAAAATTACATAGATAAATGAGGGAGGGAGGCAGGAGGGGGGCGGTGGGGGCAGGGGAGAGAGAAAGAGAGAGAGAGATTATATATTACAATAGTGGCTGTCAATATAGAATCCACTCCCCAAATCTGACTCTGGGTGTTGGGTTCTTTCTATTATACCACAGTTGGATAGAGATAATACATTAACTTTATTCCTGGCAGTTCCATCTTGGCTCTCTGCCAGGTCTGCCAGATAATAGCATCAGCAAGCAACAAAGAAGAACTGGTTAAACTCCAGGTCTTCACCTTGAATTTAGGCCAATAGAGCTCTCTTTGAAGCTATAAGTCTTGATTTAACGATTCTACCTCAGCTTTAATTCTTGTCACTAGTTCTTCAGGAAGACTTTTTTTCTCTTTTCTGTCACCCTCGGCCAATTTTATCTTTTGATATCTTTGCTTTCAAACATTTCTGCCTCCTAGCCTTTCTTCCTTTGCATTTTCTTATTATAAAATAAGGCTTTTACATGGTGAGCATTCCAATGGAAAAAAAAAAAAAAGAAAAAAAAATAAAATAAGGCTTAATTCATTTAATTTGGAAAATAGGAAATGGAGGGAAAACTCATTCATAATAACCATCACCACTGTTGCTGTAACATTCTGATATGTTTCTCTTTGGGGTGCCCCCACACAGGTATTTCCCCCCAGTCAATTTAGCTGTGCCCTTCCTGAATATACATTATTAAAATGTGATTTTCCACTTAACCAACTAACATAAAAAAATCACCATTTATTAAAAATTTTGTGAAATTTTATAGATTTCACAAATTTAATAGATTTATAGTTTTCCATTGTCTTGCTATCTAGAGAGGCATCCTCCCATGATGAAAATTTGAGTTATTTCTATTTTTAGCTTTTTATTCCAGAAAATTTCAAATGTATACAAAAGCAGCAAAAATAGTAGAATAATTCCCCATACATTTATCACCTGAATTCAGTAATTTTGAACACATGTCCAATCTTGTCTCATTTATATCTCCACCTACTTCTCCTCCTCCAAGTCCTGGAATTATTTTGAAGCAACTTTCTATTTATGTTTTCAAAAAAAGTAAATAAGTATAATAAATATTTTATGTGTTCAGGAACATCTTCTATTAAAAATATATTATCTTATAATTGACTCCTGGGAGAGGAATTGCAGGGTCCAAATTATGAGTACCATTCAGGCTCTCAATTTACATATTGCCAAGTTATTCTCCATAAACATAGAAACTTAGATTCTTTGTCAATCATATAAGAATGGTCTTTTTAAATAGGGCTCTTCAGAGCATAAAATTTTTTTCAAATATTTTTTTTTCTTAAAAGGATTATCAAGAAATTATAGCTTTTAAATTTTAAAGTGTATTTTTAAATTGCTAGTTAAGATGAAAATCCCTAACTTACTTCACCCTGCTTCCATATTTGTTAAACATTTTGGATTGGCAAATTGCTTTTTTATTTAGTTTTCCACATTTCTTGAAAAATTATTTATTAGTACTTTTCTTATTACTATAAGAACACTTTTTTATTTGTTTATTGACTGATGTTTTCACTGTGATCTTTTTTTTCTATTGGAAAGCATCCTTTCCCTTAAATTTAGGAACTCATCACCAATCCAATACAATTTATAATGTTAATTTCTTATGTCTCTGAAAACATCTAGTTATTTTTCCAACTAAAATTTATTTTGTGTAGAGGTGAAGCAAGGATCTAAATTATTTTTTATCAAATAAGTACCCTATTGCCTAAACTCCATTTAGGGAATAACCTATCTTACAAGTTCTCAACCCCAACTGTATTCTAGTATCTCCTGGTGAGAATTTCCTTTATTGAATACTGATATGCGGGTTCATATTGAATACTCATATGCAAGTTCTTACTCTATGGGGTTCATAACCACTATAATCTCTAAGAGGGGTGGGGAATAACTCTGGTATTGTTATCTTTAAAAAGTTTCCCAGGAGAATCTAATGTGCTGCCTGATTTCAGAACCACTGATCTGTTTATTTTAATTCACGCAGACTACTTTAAAGTCTTAAATGTGTATTTTATTTATGGAATATTTATGTGTTCTAGTAATCTATCTCTCTGTTTTTCAGTATCATTGTGTGTATGTGTGTGTATGTCTAAGCTTTGTAAAATACTCATGGCTAATACGTGTCCCTCCACACCAAGCTTTGCTTTTTTATTATTTTTTGTCAGAAGAGAGAGATTACTGCATGTTGGGATGTTACCAGTTCCCTTTCTCATTGTGCTGGAACCCTAAATTTCCAAAACCTTCTTTGAAATCCTCTTCTCAGTCTTCTCATTCACACATCTCTCAAATATCTTACAAGAGTTGCCTAAACACATTTTCTCCACATCCTCACCACCTAATCATTCCCAGAACCACCCATTCTCTATTCTACACTATAACCATTCTTTCTATGACCATGAGTGATTTCCATATTGCCTGTATCTACTGGTTGTATTTTTCCCTGACCACTCATCACCTTTAAGTTCAATTGTCTTCCACACTCTCCTTACACACCCCCTTCTCCTCTGCTTCTACAACACTATGAGCTCTGGGTTCCCTTCCACTGCTCTGGTTGCTCCATCTTTGACTCTTTCTGAGTTCCCACCTCTGCCCCAACTCTTCTTTCACCTAGCCCTTAAATGTTGGAACTCCATGCATTCTTTACTAGACCTTCTTTTCTTCTTCTTTTTCCTTTTCTTTCATTATTTTATCTTCCCTCTTATCTATTTCCAAGACTTCAAATATCATCTAATGACTTCTAAATATTTATCTCCAGTCTAAGACTTCCCTTATGAATCCTAAGACCTGTACAACCAAATGCTTATTTCTAATATTCTTCTTGAAAGTCACACTGGCATCTCAAATCAAAATGTCAGAAATAACTCATGATCTTCCTGTCTTATTTGATTTCCCCTTCTCCTTCCTACCTCTTACAACCACTGTGTCCTGTTGGTTTAATCTCCTGAAGGTCTCTTGTATTCTTTATTTTTACTGTCACTACTGTAATCCAAGAAACCATTATGAAGCTATTAGTTTTGGTATTAGAATTGGTATTCTCATATTTATTCTTATCATCTGTAATTTATTATGTAATGACTACCAAAGTCATGTTATTTTTTACTTTTAATTTTGAAATAATTATAGATTCACAAGTAGTTGCAAAAATAGTATAGACTCTGGTATACCCATTACCCAGCATCCCCCAATGGTAATATCTACATAAATATAGTAAATTATTCAAATTAGGACACTGACAGTGGTACAATATAATTAACTAGATTAAAGAGCTTTCTGGGATTTCAGTTTTTGCATTCACTTATCATTTTGTTCTTCTCTATTCATAGTTCTATGACATTTTATCACATGTGTGGATTCATATAATTATCACTATAGTCAAGATACAGAAAACTCCTTCATGCTACTCCTTCATAGTCACACCTCCTCCCTGTTCCTTCTGGCAACCACTGATCTATTTTCTGTCTCTCCAATTTTGCCATTTTGAAAATGTTATATAAATGGAACCATGCAGTGCATAACTTTTTGAGATCGGCTTTTTATCCACTCTGCATAATGCCCTTAAGCTCCAACCAATTGTTGCATGTAGCAATAATTTGTTCTTCCTTATTGTGGAGTAGTATTCCAAATGATGTCTTTGTAAAATACAAAACAGACCATGTCTCTCTCTACTTAAATCACTTCAGTGGCACTTAGAATAAAACAAGCAATATTTAGCATAGCCTAAAAGGCTCATCATGATCTGCTTCTGGCCTACTTGCACTGTGTCATCATTTCTGGTTTTCTCCTCTCTTGCTGCGGCCCAGGCCCAGTGACCTTCCAATTCTGAGAATGTATCAAGCTCTGTTCTGATGCAAGACCTGTACACTCCTCCTTTCTTCCTCCGTGCCTGTGCCCATCTTATGTAGTCAGCTCCTGCTCATCATTTGTCTGAGTTTAAATGCCACTTACAGAAACTTTTCTTGACTTCCTTTCCTTTTATACCTTCTAGCGCCTTGTACTTCTCCTTCATAGCGAAACATATTTAAGAATTTTTTGCAATTAATTGTTTAACATCTGTTAATCTGAGCGAATGACTTGGAATGAGGCTGGCCTCCTAAGAGTAAATGATTTGAGACACTCTAACTAGATTGTAGCAGAGACTCTAGGTGGACAGTTCAATTATAGACGAGATCGGGCGCGTTCAGGGTGGTATGGCCGTAGATGACAGTTCAACTATAGAGTAAAATTTAGGCAAGAATTAGCACCTTAGGTTTTCGGCGTGGCCAGCAGAACACAGAGGCAATGGGTGCAGGGGTGTGTAGGTGGGAATGAAGTAGAGTGGAGCAGAATGTTGGTCAGTAGACAGGCATTAGGCTAGCCTGGTTGCATTTATCTGAGTGGTCTTTACACTTGTAGCAAGAGCTCAGTAACCCGAGTCTAGAGCAAAGTTCCAATCTCATTAGGATGGATCCAGGC